TGGAAGTTAAAGAGCATGTACACATACTGCAATATTGTGATTTTAATCTCTTCATTTATTTTTTTAACAATAATGAGGCTGTTTAGGTACTTATCATTTACACCAACAATCTTTTTATTTATTGATGAGAGATTAAATGAGAGAACATTTTTTGAAGAGCGATTAACATTCTAAATATTAAGGATCATAAATAAGGGTATGTTTGGCAAAACACATATTCCCTCTGGACCACTTTACTAGTCCCATTTTTTATTTAGATGCCCCTTAAGAAACTGTGTTTTGAATGCCTACTGGCGTTTTAGAACAGTCTCTTTAATATGGATTGACATTTGCAAAAAAATCTTATGTTTGCAAACTGCACAGGCTGAGAGTGCAATTTTGGCTTTAGACTGTTGCGGTGAGGTATTGGGATCCCAGCGCATCAGGTGAGCTTATTCACAACAAATGGCTATGGTCTCAGCTGATCCCCTCTAATTCTTTTCTGCAAAGTGTGTTTCATTGTTCATGTAGTATTGCATCCTTCTGAGATTGGTATATTCTCTTGGTTGTTTTCTAGGAGGCACCACATCAGATCATGCACTCTTAACTCAAAACAGACCTGCCATAACTTTTCCTCCTTTTTTTGCTGTGTCCAAATTATTATTGCGCTATTCCATTTTTTATACCTTTCTGATGTGATAGTCAAATAGTGAAATAATGATTACGACCTTAAAGATCAGAGTGTTGCATTCTCGATAGTTGAGATGGGAAGTTGGTAGTTATTAAGTCTCTTAATTGTTTCTGTTGCTTATTCAGGAAAAAAACTGAAATTGCTAATAGACATCAACCTGAGTTATCGCTAAATACATGGATATAACTTATGTTTAACTTGGTGCTACTAGAATATGAATCCAGTTCCTTTTTCATTACCCAAGTATTTGAAAATGCAGTAGTTGGACTTTTACAGTTATGGAAGATCGGTAACTTTTGTAAAATTCTTATGATTAAAATGTCCAACATACTTGAAATTGGAAAAACTTCATTTTCTTTTTCTCCAAACATTCTTTAGTTTGTCTGTGTTCAATAACATTTACGTTCAACCTGAGTGGTTTATGATGAAATCGCGATATGCAGATAATTGTTATCAATATTCAATAGCACTTCTAGTTATTACATTTCTATAAACAGAAACACATTTTAATAAGAGCCATCTCAATACTGAGGCTTATGCAGTTGATGACACAATTTTGAGATCTACAGGGCCTTGGATCCTCAGAGAGTTCATTCTATTCATTAGTCTTTTTTCTAACTTTGCAACTTTATATATATGTTGTAGGGTGAGTCCCTCAAAAACACCAGTGAGGCCCCGACTTCCGCGTGCCATGATGCAGTAAGCCAATGTGTGTGCTCATGGACCTGGAGAAAGAGTTCAAAGACAAAAACCCCCCTCGGAAGACTTGAGGTCACCATGGGAAAAATCGAAACAAAAATTCTGTTTCAGTAATCTCCATGTTCTCTCTTTTCATGTTCCTTTCTTTACTGCCTACAGTAACTTATGCTACCAGAAAACAACGTAGCCATCGAGCCAACGATTTTTAAATTGGAATTTCCGCACTTGTACTACTTTTACCTTGATCGATCGTTCCTCTATGAATCTCTTGATGTTCCTCTATGAATCTCTTGATGGTTGGGGACGCCAGTGCACAATTCATTTGATCATTTCTCTCTGGATGTGCTTTACATGTTTCTTGTTGCTCTCAGAGTGCATCATTTACGTACCCGGTCTTTAACTATACGAACTCAACCATGGTTGAGTGCGATATTGACGTGAGGTAAGTGTATGTAGAAGACGTGTATTATGCATTTATTGATTTGATATATAGAACTCGAGTGATGAAATGTGATTGCAATCTTCAATAACCCCACAAAGAAGTCTTGGTTATTAAATGGGTATGCAGTTTGGGTCCAAGCTCCTACCACAAACCTAAGTTTTAAGATTCGCCTATCACAATAAATATTTTTAGTAAGGACGATAAATATTTTGAGACGGAAAAACTTTTGCCCAAAGTCATTTTACTTTTTAGGTGATGAATGTAAATAAAATGTTTGGACTCCAAAAAGGAAAAATAGGAAAGAAGACAGTATTTTAGTGAATATGTATAATGTACCCTTAATAATTAATTTCATTTTGGTATAAAACCAAAATACTATTTGAACCATACGTCGTTAGGTATACTAAACTTTGCTAGCTCTCAGATAATTATTTAGATTATATATAAATATTATTTTTGTTTAATTTCAATTTTTGAATTTTTTTTTTTATTCGTATCAAACACCTCCTTTATTGAATATAGAAATATATATATATATATATATTTCTTGATAGTTATTTGTTCAAAAGTATTACCTTTTTTTAATAAAGGTTAATATTCTTTTAAATTAAAATATGATTAACTTGGATCCAGGAAGCTAACATAGTCAACATTATTGAATTATCTAAAAGGTGGAAATATTGAATATTGTCCTTGTTGTTGACCCCTTTTGTCAATTAATTACACTTTTTACTATACAAAAATTTCAAATTATCGAGATTGGACATGGAGAGTGGTGATCATTGAAGTGATTCCTTTCTTATTCGCTTTTAAACTTTTAATTATTTCTTCAGTTTTAATTATGTAACACGTTTGAATTTTAAGAGTCAAAATATTAATATTAGTTGTGAAATTCAAAGATACTTAATATCTTTGTACATAAAAACTTTATAAATTATAATAATTTTTATATAGATATATATAAAATGAATTATTTTTTTTAACTACTCATGAGGACATTTAAATAAGGGAGCATTTTATTATGTGATGTGTACACCATTCACACCACATATATTTTCTGGTCTTAACTCAAACTACAAAGATGTATTGATTATTATGTGTCGTGTCTTTGTTTTATATTGTATTTTAATAATATTGATTGTTATCGAGTGATACGTAATTTTTCATTTTATGTTAGAGATTTTAAGTTTAGAATTTGAATATAAATTCACTTTTGATAGGAAATATTTTATTTATCAAAATTAAAAATTTTGATATAAATTTAGATTAATTGATCCTGAACATTAAATATCAAATGTGAACCAAAGTTCTTTTATATTGGGTTATGGTCAAGGATCTACTAGTCAAAATTGTTAGGTTAATTAAATAAAATTACCTTCAAACTCCAAGAAAAGGTTTGAACGTTTGTTTACTATATAGTATAATAACAAAAGGATGATTAATTATATACTATTTCTATTTCAATTATTCAAATGTAATTTGTTTTGACTTTATATGATTCATATTTCCGTTTTAGTTTAGGTTTGAGAAAAAGAATTATCTTAATTTTCTTGTCTAAATTTTAAAACATGATGTATTTTTTATTTAGTAATAATTTTATTTTGAAAAAAATATGTTATCTTTAATAGAATAATTTATAATTACATAGACAATCTATAACTTGCTTTAATCACAAAATTTCAAAAAAAAAAAACAATTTTTTTAAATTTTGAATTAAATTAAATAATATCTTATAAATTCGAAAGTTCAAAAAAAACACAAAAAGAAAAGACTAAAGTACTCCTATTTCTTAATTTCATGCATGTTGTCAACTTGTCAATCAAACAAAACACAATTTCCTACTATGTGAATAAGTTTTACGAGTTCACGTCAATTTAATAAATTTTATTAAAATTATTTTTATTTTTTTATGTATATTTATAAAATATATTAAATAACACTAAGTATGATTATGAATTTAAATATTATTATTATATTAATTTGATACTAATTTATAAATTTTAAATTTTGAATTCGTTAGCGATCAAAGCTTTATTTCTCAATTACATTCTTTGACTCTATCTTTGGTCCTAGTTGACTGCTTCAATTGATTTAGATGGTCAACTCTTCCTTTTAACATATTTCTCAAATCTTTTTAATTTCAAAGTATTAGTGCTCCTACTATAAATATATGTACATATAAATCACTTATCCTCAATTACAACTAACACCAACCACTCCTTATCTTTCCTCATAACCATATTCTTCGTTTTCGATATTTCTATATTTTTCGTCTTTATAAAAACATAATTATATCATTACGTTTATAAGCAGGATCTTAGCTTGAATTTGTATCTAGATTGATATTCAAAATTTACTGTGTTGACTAATTAAGAGAAGTATAGAAAACATGTCAACAGACAGAAACGACAAGGATAAGGTGAAGGTGGTGATAATTAACACGGAGTATGTCGAGACCGATGCAAGGAATTTTAAATCAATAGTTCAGAAATTAACAGGCAAGGATGCAGGATCAGTGGAGCCTAATCATGTGAAAATGTCAAAGTTTAAGTCCAATAATCCTAGTGCTAATCTTGATAACTTATTGAAATTAGAGTTACCTTCTTTGGACAAACTATTTTGTCCTAATTATGGAGATGAAGTACATTTTTAAGCGAGTTTGAGTTATATATATCGTTAATGTAAGAAATTTATACATCGTTGAGTATTGTTATGAAATCTATCTCTTAGTTTTGTTACTTGATTTAATTTATCCATGAAGGAATAACTTACAATTCCTGATTCAATCGTTTAAATTAAAGAAAAAAAAGGTATAAGTTTAGATTTGATCAACCTTTGAAGGAACTTGGTAAGACATCCAAATGTCCAACAGAAAAAATTATGTTGGAAGCATTGTCTTCAGAATGAGCCCTGTAATACGTAATCTAAATAAAAATTATGTTGGACATGTTGCCTTCAGAATGGGCCCTGCCAATCGATGGTAAGGAAGGTACAAAAACGTGCGATATGTGAATTTTATTCATCCTTAGTAATGAGGGTGTCACCTGAGAAAGACGAATGATAGGATAGCTTTATTTTATTTAAAGGGAAAAAATGAAACCCCCCCCCCCCCCCGCCCCTCTTCTCCTTTGCCAAACTTGTTAAACACACTATTTAAATAATTTTAATACAAATATCGAACACCGGATAAAAAATAATTGTTAGCATTTCCCATAATATAATATAATCAAACTTCACTATGACGATTTGAGATGTTAATTGTAAAGAATATATAATTTAACATAATATAAAAATCTAGACTATTAAATTAAAATATTATTATAAAAGATGAATATTATACAAACTGACCATACTAGCCTTGACTAGACAAAAGAGAAAGAATTGTTATAAATTATGATAGAGAGAGAAATGTGTTCAAACCTCCCAATTGATTAATGAATCTTGGCTGAGAAATTTGATAGTATGGTGGTAACTGTGGTTCCAAGATTGTAATGTTGTGTCTATACATTTTGTACATCACGTGTATGCGAGTTCAGAATTTAAATATATAAAAATTTGAAACAGATTATAAAAATAAATAGAATAAATAAATTGAAACAGAGAAAATACCAGACTAATATAAAGGGATAATCAACATCAATTTTCGAACCACAATCACCAACAAACTACCATCTTCTTCTTCTTCTTGTGCTTCAATTTTAGTTTGTGTAAATGCAATTTTGATACCTTTTATTGAACACAAAAATGTTAGAGACACACTTTTAAAATAGAAAGTACATTGAAAAAAAACTTATAATTGTACTAATAGTGTACTATGAACTCACACCAAAAGGACATTTACCCCTTGGAGTATACAAGTTTTTTTAGAAAATTAATAAACCATTTTAAAAATGTTATTTTTTTATGTTATTAACAGGTGTTTGATTGGTCGATTAAGAATAATAATCCTGATATTAAATAACTAACCTAATTAAGCACATGAAGAAAAAATAAATTCAAAAGGTTATTTCCAAAAAAAAAAAAAACTTATAATTTAAGGCATTGTAATTTCATCTTGGTGATGTTGACGTACTACTAAGATAAGGTCAATTTTTTATTTCTTGTTTGGTTACGCACACTCATTGTACTACTACAAATGGTACTATCAAATATATTATTAGTCATAGACTCCTAGTGTAGTACTAAGGGCTCCCCTTGGATGTTCGGTTCTTCAGTTCAGTTATATCAAATTTTGATTTAATTTTTTGATTTAACAAAGGTACGAATTAAATATCGAGTCGAACTAGTTTGGTTCGATCGGTTAGATATTTTTAAAACGGTTTTTCGACAAGAATAAAAAATAAAATAAGGATAAAATCAAGTTTAAGACATTTTAAAATAATGATAAAATCAAGTATAAGATATTTTAAATTTAAACTATGTTAAGTAATGATGTGTCTCACCATGGAACACTTATTATGTTTATAATACTATATTTGTCTTTGTCAAGAACATTGTTCCTCCAACTACTTGCTTTGGGGCTCGTTTGAAATTTAAAATGGGTCTGATTGCTCCCGGGACCGACTGGTTTCATTGCTAAGGTTTTAACAGATGTTCATAAAAATTTGGGCCAATAAAATTTGGAATTCAGAATCACCAAAAATTCATGGACTACTATGTTTAAATACTATATCCAGAATTCTGACATAACTTTTGCCAAAATTTTCTATGGACATCAGTTAATACCTTAGCTATGAAGCCAGTTGGTCTCGACTAAAAAACTGACTCATTTTCAACGTTAAACAAGCCCCATATCAGGTAAATCCACCATTTTTTCGCATTTCGTATGCTATAGTCCATGAATTTTCAGTGATTCAAAATTTCAACGTGATTTTTGTCAAACTTTTTCATGGATGTCCGTTAAGCACACTAAAATCGGCTAAATAGGGTGTTTACCTGTTCTTGGACTCGTTTGACCTTGAAAATGAGACGTTTTGTTCGTCAGGGCACACCGGCTCCATGAATAAGGTCTTAAGGAATGTCCATGAAATTTTTTAGCAAAAAAGATGTCGAAATTCCGAATAATCAAAAAAGATTGTGAACTATAGCACACGAAAATTAGCAAAATGGGGAGTTTATCTGCTTTTGGAGCTCATTTGACCTTGAAATTGAGCCGTTTTAGCCGCCAGGGCCAATTGTCTCTATGGCTAATGTCGTAATATACGTCCATGAAAATATTTAGCGAAAATGACGTCATAAATCTGGATAACCCAAAAAATAGTGAACTATAGAACACAAAAATGGGTAAAATAGGGGTTGACCTATTCATGGGCTATTTGACGTTGAAAAATGGTTGTTTTGGTTGTGGTGACAAACTAGCTCCATATCTATGGTCTTAATGGATATTTATGTAAAGTTTTTGAAAAAATGACTTCGAAATTCTGTATCAGGAAAAATCAATGGACTATAACACACGAAAATCAGCAAAATAAGGGATTTACCTGCTTTGGGGGCTCATTTGACCTTGAAAATGATTTATTTTGACCGTGGTGACCAACTGGATCTATAACTAAGGTCATAATGGACGTCATGTAAATTTTTGACAAAAATGATGTCAGAATTTTTGATCACCAAAAATGCATGGACACATTAAGATCGACAAAATGGGGGTTTACCTTCCCTGGGCTTGTTTGACCTTGAAAATGGGTCGTTTTGGCCGTGGTGACTAAATAGCTCCACAACTAAAGTCTCAACGGACGTCTATGTAAGATTTTGGCAAAAATAACGTCGAAATTCCGAATCACCAAAAATTTATGGACTACAACACACAAAAATTGACAAAATGGGAGTTTACCTGCTCTGGTTTCGTTTGACCTTGAAATGGGCCGTTTTGGTCGAGATGACCAACTGGATCTATAGCTCTGGTCTCGACATACTTCTATGTAATTTTTTGAGAAAAATGACGTCAAAATTCTAGATCACCAAAAATGCATGGACTATAACTAGAGAAAATCAGGAAAATGAGAGGTTTACATGCTTTAAAGCTCGTTTACCTTGAAAATGGGTTATTGTGTTCGTGGTGACCAACTGACTCCACAACTAAGGTCTTAATGTACGTCTATGTAAATATTTGTTAAAAATGATGTTGGAATTCGAGATCACAAAAAATTCATGGACTATAGAACATGAAAATCGGATAAATGGGAGGCTTACCTGCTCTGGGCTCGTTTGAGCTTAAAAAATGGTTATTTTGTGCGTGGTGATCAACAAGCTCCATAACTAGGGTTTTAATGGACGTTCATGTAAATTTTTGAAAAAAAATGATGTCTTATTCTGGATCACCAAAAATACATGGACTATAACACAAGAAAATATGTAAAATGGGAGATTTATCTACTCTTGGCTCTTGTGACCTTGAAAATGGTCCATTTTGACCGTAGTGACCAATTGACTCCATAACTAATGTCTATGTAAATTTTTGAAAAAAAGGATGTTTCAATTTTGGATCACCAAAATTCCATGTACTATAGCAAATGAAAATTGACAAAATTAGGGGTTCACCTGCTCTGAGTTTGTTTGACCTTGAAAATGGACCGTTTTGATCGTTTTGACCAATCGGCTCCATTGTTAAGGTCTTAACAGACGTCCATGTAAATTATCAAAAAAAAATATGTTGGAATTCCGGATCACAAAAAAGATGGTGGACTAGCGTACATGAAAATCGATAAAAATAGGGGGTTTACCTGCTCTAAGGCTCATTTGACCTTGAAAATTGGTCATTTTTACTGCGGTGACTAATTGACTCCAGAGATAAGATCTTAATAGATATCCACGTAAATTGTTGGCAAAAATTACGTCGAAATTTGGATTACCAAAAATCCCGTAGAGTATCGCATACGAAAATCCGCAAAATGGGGATTTACCTTCTCTAGGGCTAGTATGACCTTCAAAATGAGTCATTTTGGCCGTAGTGACCAACCTACTCCAAAGGTAAGGTCTTAACGGACGATTAGGTAAATTTTTAGCAAAAATGACATCAGAATTCTGGATTACCAAAAAAGATGATAGAATATAACACACAAAAATCGCTAAAATGAAGGGTTTACCTTCTTTAGGACTCGTTTGACCTATAAAATGGACCGTTTTTCTCGTGGGTGACCAACTGAATCCATAGATAAGGTCTTAACGGATATCCATGTAAATTTTTGGTAAAATCCACGTAAAAATTCTGGATCACCAAAAATATCATGGACTATAGCATACGAAAATCAATAAAATTGGGGATTTACTTGCTCTAGGGCTCGTTTGACCATTAAAATGGATCATTTTGGTTGTGGTGACCAACTGGCTCCATAGTAAGGTCTTAACCGGTGTCCATGTAAATTTTCGGCAAAAATAACATTAGAATTTTAGATCACCAAAAAAAATAGTGAAGTATAACTTACAAAAATATGTAAACTAGGGGTTTACTTGTTCACGAGCTCATTTGACCTTGAAAATGATTGTTTTGGTTGTGGTGACCAAGTAACTCCATATCTAAGGTCATAATGGACGTCCATGTAATGTTTTGGAAAATATGACATCGAAATTCTGGATCACCAAAAATTAATGGACCACTCTGGGCTCTTTTGACCTTGAAAATGGATCGTTTTGGCTGTGGTGACCTATTGGATCCATAGCTAAGGTCTTAATGGACGTCCATATAAATTTTTGGCAAAAATGACGTTGGAATTTCAGATCACACCATTTTTTTTGATTTTTGTGTGCTATAGTCCATGAATTTTTGGTGATTCGGGATTTCATATTCTTTTATCTGAAATTTTTTATGGACGTCTGTTAAGACCTTAGAAATGGGTCTAGTTGGTCCTTAGGGGCTAATCAGCCCATTTTCAAGTTCAAACAAGTCTCAAAGCAGGTATAACCATATTTTATCGATTTCTTGTGCTATAGTCCATGATTTTTGGTGATACTAGATTTCATATTTTTTGGCTGAAATTTTTTCATGGACATCCGTCAATACCTTAGCAATGGAACCTTCCAGGGGCTAACCGACCTATTTTCAAGTTCAAACGAGCAACAAAGTTGGAATGACTAGATTTTTCTGATTTTCATGTGCTATAATCCATGGATTTTTTGTGATTTCAGATTCTGGATCCTTGTGACGAAATTTTCATGGACGTTCGTTAAGACCTTAGAAATGGAGTTAGTTGGTCCCCAGGGGCTAACCGACCATTTTCAAGTTTAAACGAGCCCCAAAGCAGGTATAACTAGATTTTACCAATTTGTTTGTGATGTAGTCTATGAATTTTAGGTGATTCAGGATTTTTAGTTTTTTTTTTTGCTGAGGTTTTTCATGGACGTCCGTTAAAAGCTTAGCAATTGGGTCGCTTTATTTTGAGGGGCTAACCGGCCCAAATTCAAGTTCAAACGAGCCCCAAAGCAGGAACAATCAGATTTAATCGATTTTCCTGTGCTCTAATTGATGTTTTTTTGGTTATTTGATATACCAGATTTTTTGGCTGAAATTTTTTAAGGACGTTCTTTATGACTTTAGAAATTGAGTCAATTGGTCCCCAGAGACTAACCGACCCATTTTCAAATTCAAACGAGCTCCAAAACGGTCATAATCAAATTTTATCGATTTTTATGTGTAGTCAATGAATTTTTGATGATTCGGGTTGTTTTTGCCATAATTTTTCATGAATGTCCATTAAGATCCTAGCAATGAAGTCAGTTGGTCCCAAGTGCTAATTGGCACATTTTCAAATTCAAATGATCTTCAAAGCA